TTTCGGAGAAAAATGACTATATACCAAACTGCCAGCAAGATGTGAAATGATTATTAAAAAGTTGTTTAAACTAAAATTTTAGAAGTTGTGTTGGGTTTAAAGACAATCTATATAGAGGCTAAAGACTTGGGACAAAATTGTTTTCAACTAGCAATAAGTTAATGTACGAAATTTCTATAATAATCGAATAATAACCTCTGAAGGTGGAAAATTTCCTTCAAATTTAAATGAGGCCACCTTTGAGACAGCGCATTCAATAGAAACAGAATCATTAAAATCGGTTCACAATAGGCGACGAAATTTCTTTTTCTGAAGTCGATTGAAAAGAGACGTTTACTAACACATTTTATACACACCACGTCCATAGATACATATAATCTAAAGTTCAAGAAAATTAAACTTTCGTGATATACACGGCCTTAATGAGATTTGCATTACAAAAGACGAGAACTTTTTAAGTTCTATAAAGTAAAAATAGATATTTAAAAACATTTTAATTTGTTTTGCAAAGAAATATCTCATACTCTCATACAGTTTAAACCGTATAAGAAATTCAACTGGCTGCTTTGCTAGACTGTCGTCGCCCACATAAAGCATCAATTAATCATTACTTTGTTTGTGCTTGTTGTATCAGATTTTATTTACGATAAGCTAGACTATTGCCCATCTTTAGAAATCACAAAGAAATTTTGTTGATACGTAAATAACGCACAAAAAAAAAAGAAAGGCAGATTGTCCTACAGATACGTGAAATCATTGATAAAGACTTATTAGTTGTTTGTTTTAGTTAAGGAAATTGGAAAATGCGAACTTCTAAATATATATTCCAAATGTCAATCAGGTGTTATAAAAATATATTATATTTTCTTGCACTTTTCTTTAGTGTAGGCAAACAAGGCTGATATTCTAAAAAAAGTTACTTTTTGATGTTTTCGCATAAATAAGGTAACAATATTGTATTAACGTTTAAGTTCCTAGTCTGGTCTAAATCACCAGACGCTGACCACGATATCGATATTATTGGATCTCATTAGCACGCCATAGGCAGTCTTGATAAATACTTCAGTAACAACAAATACAATGTGCATATTTGGATTGTTTAGTTGTTTAGGAACATTTTCGGCGTGGTCGCTAAATTATACCAAGACTGCCTCTCCCACCAACAACTTAAACATTCTCATTAATTGGTTTACGTGTGCCTTGCATGTATATATAATGCATCGTTGATTCTGTTAGATAAGTTGAAATACCTTAGGAAGGGCTTGTCTCACGATTGGAATACTTCAGTAGCCGCAAATACCTACTAGATTGTGATACAATGTCTGTATTGGGATATTACAATATTGTGAATTTGAAAATTTACAAAAAAACACAATAAATGGTGGGTGGGGGTCTCCACTCTATCTAACTTCCCTAATTCTCTTTTTGTTATTGATGCTTTTACTAAACTTTTCACTGAATTAATTTCAAATTGACAAAAATATNTAATGTTGTCTATGGTCAAGTATGGTGTCTTATTTATAGTCAGATTTACCTGAAACTAGGCTTTAATGCCTTTTCATATAAAATTAGTGACATACATATCTATTTCAACATTTTACAAAATTGTACCTCTTTAGGAAGCTGAAAGGGGTTTGCATAAATTGCATGTTTGTTTTTGGTCCCATTTACTTTAAACTAGTTAAAGGATTCAATCTCTCCTGGGTGAGATGAGTGGTGAAGAGAAGTTGCAATGTTTAAATGAAACATACATTATTTGTGGTCAGATTTACTTGAAACTTGGTTTTAATGGTCTCTCATTTAATTCCTGAAAGATCTACCTCGACATTTTAAAAATTCAATCCCCAAGGGGTGGGGGTGTTGCAATTTTTGTTTGGGACATACTTTATTTGTGATTGAATTTACTTGAAACTTCGTACATATGCGATTTGATATTATTATTCAAATGAAAAGAGGTTGCAACGATTCCATGGGGTATATTTTATTTGTACTCGGATTTACTCGAAGGTTGCTCATTGTTGAAATTAAGCAAATACGTGTTTTAGCAATTTTTAAAAATCAACCTTTAAGAATGAAATGTTGTTGCTATGTTTGTATTTGAAATTTAAGATGGCGACATTACATAAAATTAAAACGTAAGGGTGAATTGGGAGTTAAAAGGTTTTATGGAGAAACAATATTAATTTCTGCGAGCGAAGCCGCGGGGAAAAGCTAGTTATATATATTGCAATAACTCTTGTCCCACAATTGTTATTATTCATCAAAAAAAAAAAAGAAGAACCGGTAAAAATGATGAAAATGATTTAAGTTATCTGACAAGAACTTTAAGAATCCATATGAGGGACGTGATTTATTTGGAAATTTGGTGTTAATCTCCATTATTCGTGGATAAAATTGCAATTACTTATCAGGGATAGAGACGGTTTCGGCTCATTTTGCCATCTATACTTCCATTAATGCTATTAAATGCCAATTTTCTCAAATATCGGTGCGCAATATGGCCTCAGTGTATCCACCAAAATCAATACTACGGTTCAGCACCATCTAATTGCATTTCCCTTGATACGTGCGAGTAAAAGCAGCAAATTTATTCATAGAGAATATTAATGTTACCGAATTCAAAACTTGGAATACGCTTCCTACATATAATATTTAGAATAACATAACAAACGTTAAAAAGAATATGTTAATTATGTCGATTTCTCCGTAATTAAGTCAAAAAATATTAACAAAATCCTTTGTACTGTTTTCCCCAATGATGATAATAATATTTTTTCAATAAGAAGCAGCCAAAAGGGATGAAACGTTCTTTATTTCATATGTAATCTCCAACCGATGTTTCGCCTTTTTGGTCCAAGGCTGCATCAAATAGATTACTAAGTTATTTAGTTATGTACATCAGACGCAGACATTGGAAATCACTTGTACAATTACCCGAGAATTTAACATTTCTAACCACTTTGATAAAAAATTACACAAAATCACAACATCATCATCATCATAGGGTCGTCAATCCTAAGACTGGTTGGACACCCACCTCCACTCTTTCCTATCCTGAGCTAAACTTCGCATTTTCCTAAAAACTAGAACAACCCACATCCTTAACAATTTGTGAACAGCAATCTAATCTGAGGTCTATCTTCTCTACCCCTCTTAACTCTCGTTTCCGCCTCTAATATGTCTGACTAGCCCTTCATGCCTGAGAAGTGTCCTACCAACCTATCTCGCCTATTCCTTATTGATTTCCATAGAGTCCTGTATTCTCCTATTCTTTTTAATATGTTAAACTGAACTTGTTATCCACCAGATGGTATAGTAATCTAACCTAGGTCTGCCTCTATCCCTCCTAACTCCTGTTTCTGCCTCTAATATGTCTCTGACTAGGTGTCCTACCAACCTATCTCGCCTATTTCATAATGACTTTCATAGAGTCCTCTGTTCTCCTATTCTTTCTAATACCTCTTCATTTCTAACCTTCTCTATCCACGGTATCCTCATCATTCGCCTGTCACACCACATTTCGAAGGCTTCTAACCTTTTCTTTTCCGCCGCACTCACTGTCCATGTTTCACACCCATACAACGCCGCGCTCCAAACATACACCTTTAACAACCTCTTTCAAATTTCTAAATTAACATTAAAAATCACAACATGAAACTTAAANCCATCGAATGTAACCACGAAACCACCGAAGTTTGATGGAAAGACATCATGGATTATTTTCTTTACACAATTCAAGGCAGCTGCAAGGACCAACCCCTGGATACCGAAAGAGAAAGCCACTGCACTTACCTGTACCTTACGTAATGGTGCCGAGGAAATTTTAAATACACTACGGCCTGAAGAATTAGGAGACTACCAGCAGCTAGTGAAACGGCTGAAAATGTGATACCGCCAGGCAAGTGCCAAGTGGCATTAGTCTATCATGTCCAACTAAGAAACCGGAGTCAGAGGCAGGGGGGCTGACTCGTGAAGGCGACCTTAAATTAGGAAGACTTGTGCCAATTTGAAACTGCTTCGAGAATCAGTCAACTATTTGTGGCATGTCATTTAGGAGACAGGCGTTTCTGTTGACCCCCAAAAAATTAAATTTAAAATTTGTTAAGCCGAAATTGAATGAAAGATAGTAAACTGAACAAGTTTTTTAGGAATATTTGATAGGCGAAAAATGTAGGTATAAATGAAATCTTTTATCTTTGTGATTTAGACACATTTATTTCGTTTTTAAATATCTAAAAATGTTTATTTACTTCCGTATTACGACTTTTACGAAAAGTTAGTTTTTCTTTGAAATGGCTTAAAATGGCCCAATTATAAATGACTAGCAAGATAAAATCGGGAGCAAGGTGTTTTAAAACAAAAAAGCCTAGTATTTTGTAAATCACACTTAGGTCCATATTCCTGAAAACAGCAGATAAAATCAGAAAAAGGTATTTTAAGCGACTTTTTTCGTAAATAAATACTTTTCGATTGCACTTGACACTAAGCTAAATTTGCCGCTTTTCTTATCTTCGCAATTAAGATCTTTTATTTTAATTAGCCGAGAATATATTGAAAATTACGATCTTAATTCTTTGGATCCATTACTCTATCTAGTAAGGAAGATAACATTTTTGCGATCCCTTACATTTGCATCCGTGGCACTCTTTGCCCCCTTCCCATTTACGCTGTCACTGCCAAAGGGCTTTCCAATCGGTAAAGGTCATACATACATTAATAATAATAATAATGCTGTATTTTTAATTGCTTAGGATCGTATGGTTACGATAGTAAAGGACAACACGAACGAAGTTGTCATGTATTTCCTTTTCTAATGGACCTAGGTGGGATTTATCTAAATAATAGGGTTGTTTAAAACATTTTCCCCCCATTTTCTCATGTAGGTTTTTCTATGTTCGGACCATTTCAAGTCATTTACAAGAAAACAAAGTTAAGTAAAAGGCAGCGATACGGAATACGGATGCCTAATGTATAAGTTAGCTTTCCAATATTGTAGTTACCTTTTTGCAATACTGAAGAATATCCATTTTATCTTTTATACATGATGCTTTTGATGCAAGGTCGGTTTGCCACCTGCCTTGCTCCGTCATGAATTGTGGATGATATGGTTCTTGTCCGTGAATGCCAGTGTCGCAGAGAAGTGCCACTTGGGGTTCAAAATGCGTTACAACACTGTTTGATGGTGCGACATCCTGCAACGTCTAGAAACAGAAAAATAAAATGATAACAATTACCTCACGTATACCATTTAAATACACACATAAAGTAAAGTTTAAAACACTAACGATAAAAATAAAAAGTAAATGATTTTCACTTATGCAATTAATTCAATTTTAATTTCTCAATTTCATTAAGCCAATAGTCAGTGATATCAAATTTACATTAGAAATTTACAAACTTATCCAGAAAACTTTAGCGTGTCTTCATAACGTCAAACGATAGAAACCCAGGGAGTCATAAGTTGTGGAAGATCAATGGTGAAATTGGATATTTCGATTAGATACCGTAATGTTTAATTTATGGTATTCTATAGACTCCTATTATAGTGATTTTAGACATTTTTGTATTAGATACTGTATTTTCAAATCCGTTTAATTGGAACCAAAGAATGATTTTGTTTAACTGAGTTAGGATTACAACGGAAGAGGAAGTCAGTATTATGGTGGTCAAGCCCATCTCTTTGTTTAGATGAATGTGACTTAATAGGTGTGATTTTATGTTGGGCTCCCTAATTAGCTGGTGTGAAGTGTTATGCAGTAACGGCTTTAGATTAGATTATTGTGGAAAAAGTTTCTCTCACTGGCCCACAACAAGTGCTAAGCTTGAGGGCCTAGGTAAGGTTATGGTNCAATAGTCAGTGATATCAAATTTACATTAGAAATTTACAAACTTATCCAGAAAACTTTAGCGTGTCTTCATAACGTCAAACGATAGAAACCCAGGGAGTCATAAGTTGTGGAAGATCAATGGTGAAATTGGATATTTCGATTAGATACCGTAATGTTTAATTTATGGTATTCTATAGACTCCTATTATAGTGATTTTAGACATTTTTGTATTAGATACTGTATTTTCAAATCTGTTTAATTAGAACCAAAGAATGATTTTGTTTAATTGAGTTATAATTCTTTTCTATTAGTAATTGTAGACTATTGTAACTAATACCGTAAGAACGAAACATTTTAATTAGTGAAATTACAAGTATCTGCGTCTTAATCATTTTATATTAATTAATTTGTGGATGATGTTCGAACCGTTTTTATTAGTTTAGATTTAGGAATCCATAAAAATCGAAGTTTATAACTATATTTATTTATATCAATATTGGATTACAGCAATTTCAGCAGATCGCTTATTGCAATTTGCGATGGCTTATTGATTCTTTAAATTGAGGATACGGGTGTGGCAAAACCCCGGCGACTCCTGGATTGCTGCTGCAGTTGTCCCCGTGATTAACGTCCGGTTTTTAATTACCCTCTCTGGTCTTGAATACCCTTTGCAATCCAAGCTTAATACTTTCCCTCGGAGATGATTTAAACCGATTTCAAACTTAAATTCCAGAAATTTTCATTAACCCTGCAATTCAACCAACAAAGAGAGAGAAAATGATCCTTTGCAGCCGTTAAAATTTCGGAGCGTAATTTCCTATTTTCTTTCGTTATGGCACTAAACTAGGTTTTTATTGGTTTGAAAAACTGAATTATCCTTCCATCTATAAAGCTTTAACCGGGTGTATTAATAAAAATTTGTCGACGCATAAAAACATGTATACGGCTACTTCTCGAATACATGCAGGTATTATAAGTATCTATCTACGTTACTATTTATTTTCAAATACGAACACCATCAAACAACAACAACAGAAACACTTTATACTTTTCAACTTCAAACTTTTGTACTAGTTAGAAAACGGAATTTTCGATTTTATTGGAAAACAATTACTGTTATTGTTAATACGCTTCTTTTTTGAGCTTTTACTTGACACGCGTAAAACTAACTCATCATCATCATCATCATAAGATCGTCAGTCCTAAGACTGAAAGATTGAACACGCACCTCAACTATTTTCTATCCTAAGCTAATCCTCACATTTCCCTAAAACTAAAACATCCCACATCCTTAACTATCTGAGAACAGTAATCTAATCTAGGTCTACCTCTACTCCTTTTAGCTCTTTCTGATTCTAATATGCCTCTAATTATCCTCATGCATAAGGTGTTCTACCAAGTTCTCTCTCCTATTTCTTATTGACTTTCATAGAGTTCTCTGTTCTCCTATTCTTTCTAATACCTTTTCATTTTTAACCTTCTCTATCTACGGTATCCTCATCATTCCCCTGTAACATCACATTTCGAACGTTACTAACTTTTTCTTTTCCGCCGCGCTTACCGTCGACGTTTCGCACTCGTATAATGCCACGTTCCAAACATACACCTTTAAGGATGTTTGGGAGGTATGTCAAAATGCTATGAGACAAATAAAAATTTGGAAGAACGTTCCTCATTCAATTCTAAAACTCCTGTAAAAATTACAAATCGATTCACTAAACCGTTAAAAAGTTATTGAAATTTTAAAAAATTGTAATTTTACACGTCATTTTATGGAGATTCGTTAACCGAACAGATTAAATTTATTTTTATTAACAGAAAAAAAGCTACCAGAAATTTCAAACTTTTATAATAAGTAACTTGAACTCTGGAGAATCACTTTAGCGTAAGGTTATTCAAATTCACTAAATGGTTATCGAGGAAAAAATGAAAAATTAGCTGAAAATCTCGTTTTTACTTGATAATATAATGATAATATTTATAATTGTCTGAAATAAATGCAATTTTAAAGTTTTAATTATTATTTAAACATATTAAAAAGTTTTACGCTCATTATTAATAGAGATTGAAACTAAATATTTTTTTGTTTCGAAGTTGAAATCAAGGCATATTCACTGCCAAAAGTCAGTTAAAAATTTTCCGTATTATTCGTTATTTCTTATTTTAGGTTTTTGGTCCAAATCCAAATTTTCTCTCAAACCGTATACTTTTTTTAGTAGATATAGATAGTATTTATTTACCTCATGATATGCTGCAAAACCTAATTAATTACGAATTTCTAATTTTATGTACCTACTCTTGTCTCCGATTGTACCTCCCAAACATCCGTAATAATCTTTTTCGAGTTTCATAATTAACCGTTCGCGAGCATAGCAGTGACTTCGTTTTATTGAAGGCGACACGACCCTGCGCTATCCTCTGCTTTATATCCCTACTACTCCTTCCATCCTGACTAATGTGACTTCCTAGATACCGAAAATCAACCACTTCTTTTAATTTTTCGTCTCCTATCTTTATATTCGCCATTTACCTACTTTTTCTTCCCTAGCATAACACTATTTTTGTTTTACTTTTATTTATTTTCATATAATATTGTTTTGTCAATACCGCTTTCATCCCTAACTCGTCGTTGCTAGGTGGACGTTATTTTTTATTATTCATTTAAGTAGAAATTCATCTGTAAATCATAATTTGTTTCATTATTTGTACTATCTGTATCATAGTTGGATAATCCTATTTAAGACACAATAGTTTCTTAAAAAATCTTGTAGCAACAGAAAAATCTTGTTTTTTTTTGCATGGACATAATCACTGTTCTGTTAATAACTTTCTTGTCAGTTGTTTTTATTGGACCTACTTTAAACTAACAATAGAATTTATAATCAAATCACTACCCGTGAAGATCAACGTTTTTAAAATGTATTTTCCGATTAATTTTCCTTCGGATTTCTTCAGCTGAGAACCTTATACAGTTATAAATACGCGAGATATAATTTTAACAAGCCTAATGTTCAATTAATTCGTTTACACGCGAGGAAAAAATTGAAATTTTCCGAGGAATTTTTTCTAACGTATTTAACTGGGCTTATATAGGACGGGCCTCGAAATCAAATTACGTTCGTTAGCTGTTATAAGTGGACCATTCTCGTATAACAGAAACACGGTTTAGTTTCATTTGCCCACTAGTGTTTCTGTTCCCTTCTTCAAAAAAGGGTGCGAGAAATGCGTAAATTTCGGGATTAATTCTTCGATAGAAATGGCGTTGTTCCATCATTAATGCCCGATTAAACAGGCAGGTAATTAGACCCTTCAGAGGACGTCCTCTATCTTCTGGTGCTGCATTGCGTATAACGAATGATACTGTCGGAATCCTTTGTGTTATTAATTTGTTACTCTAAAGAACGCAAATGGCATACCTATTAGGCAATAAAAAGATTGCAGAAGAACACTTATGTGGCAGATGTTGCGGAATGGAAACGTAATCGATGTGTTCGTTGAATGTGAATGCGATTTAACCCTCCTTTGAAAATTAACCTGTTTTCTATTAACACGAACAGCTTAATCAATTTAATGAGTACAATTAGTAGATAACAGGCCTTAACAAATGTAGTATTCAAAAATTACCCCAATAGTTTTCTGCTTATTAGATACTCTTCATGCGTTACCATTATTGGCATATCAATTTTTTGTATACTTTGGGAATAAATAAATTAATTACTTTAACAAGCTTTTGAATTCCTTACAAATAGCATTAGCTATTAGATAGCTGTCTGAGCGTGATTTTTAAATCATAATATATGCATTATCATCATCATAAAGTCTTGAGTCTTAATGTCGAAAACTGGTTGGATACGCACCTTCACTTGAGTCAATCTACTATCTGGAAAACCCGAGCAACCTACATCTTTAACTATTTGTGAAGAATAATCTAGTCTATATCTACTTCAACCCCTCTTAACCACTGTTTCTGCTTCTAATGTATCTCTAACTAGCCTTTCACGTCTCTCTATTTCTTATTGTCTTCCATAACGCCCTCTGTTCTCCAACTCTTTCTAATACCTTTTACGCTTCTAACTTTTGTGTTTTTGCAACTTGAAACTTTTGAAAATTTTTATCGAGGTCTAAGGAAAAACATATTTCTTACCAATTTTTTATTTTAATTTAACTAANCTTCATGCGTTACCATTATTGGCATATCAATTTTTTGTATACTTTGGGAATAAATAAATTAATTACTTTAACAAGCTTTTGAATTCCTTACAAATAGCATTAGCTATTAGATAGCTGTCTGAGCGTGATTTTTAAATCATAATATATGCATTATCATAATCATAAAGTCTTCAGTCTTAAGTCGAAGACTGGTTGGATA